TCAAGGCTAGAGCTCTACCACTTGAGCCACAGTGCCACTTCCGGCTTTTTTCTTTTTGCTTATGTGGTGCTGAGGAATCGAACCCAGGGCCTCATGGCATGCAAGGCAAGCACTCTGCCACTGAGCCACCTTCCCAGCCCTGGGGGCATTTTAAAATAGACTTTGTAGGCTTGGCACTGGTGGTTCCTACCTGTAATCCTAGCTACTCTAGAGGCTGAGATCTCGGAATACAGCTTGAAGAAACTGGAGCAGGGAAGTCTATCTGGGATAAGCCTCTTACATGCAGTTAACCAGCATAAAGCTAGACATTGAGCTGTGGCTCAAGTGCTAGTGGGCCTAGCCGTGAGTGAAAGAGCTCAGGGACAGCACACAGGCTCTGAGTATGTGCTCCAGTAGCTGCACACACAGTCACAACATATAATAGGTTTTGTAAAGGGCCAGGGGTGGAGGCTCACACTGATAACCTTATCTTGTCAGTAATCAGGTGATTGAAATGATTGCAATTTGTGGCCAATCTGAGCAAACTGTTAGTGAGACAAATAAGTTGGGTGTAGGCTAAAGGCAGAGTTCAAATGGTTGAGTTTATGCCTAGTAAGCATGAAGCTCTAGTACTGCAAAATAAAACCAAGCACACCTGGGTGCTGGTGGCTCACTCTTGTAATCCTATCTACTCAGGATGCTGAGACTTGAGGATCACATTCAAAGGCAGCCTGGGCAGGAAAGTCTGTGAGACTCTTATCTCCAATTAACCACCAGAAAACTGGAAGTAGTGCTGTGGCTCAATTGGTAGAGCACTAGCACTGGCCTTGAGCTGAAGAGCTCAGGGACAGAGCCCAGGCCAAGATTTCAAGCCTCATGACCGACTTAAAAATTAAGCACAAAGGAAATGAGCTGGGTGGTACACAACTATTAATTCTAGGTATGTGGGAGGCATAGGTGAAGGATCTTAGTCCTAGGCCAACTCAGATAAAAGTTATGAGGACCTATCTGGAAAGATAAACACAAAAGGGGCTAAGGCTCAAGTGACACAGACCCTAAGTGTTTACCCCAGTATCTCCAAAATAAAAGTTTTTTAAAGTCTTCATAAATGTAAACAAATGTCAGTCTTTATAAATCAAATGTCAACGGCTGTGTATTCTCTGCTTCTGGACAGTAGAAGTGTCTGAGTATTTTCTTTCTTTTTTTTTTTTTTTTTGTCGGTCGTGGGGCTTGAACTCTGGGCCTGGGCGCTGTCCTTCAGCTCTTCAGCTCTTCAGCTCAAGGCGAGCGCTCTACCACTTGAGCTACAGCGCCATTTCCGGTTTTCTGGTGGTTTATTGGAGATAGGAGTCTCATGGTCTCTCCTGCCCGGGCTGGCTTTGAACCTCTATCCTCAGATCTCAGTCTCCTGAGTAGCTAGGATTACAGGCGTGAGCCACCAGCGCCCGGCTTGTCTGAGTATTTTCTGTGTCTACCAGTTAAAATATCAGTCATAGGGCCTGAACTCTGGGCCTGGGCTCTGTCCCTCAGCTCTTCAGCTCAAGGTGAGCGCTCTACCACTTGAGCCACAGTGCCACTTCTGGCTTTTTCTGCTTATGTGGTGCTGAGGAATTGAACCCAGGGCATCATGCATACAAGGCAATTAAGCACTGTATCACTGAACTACCTTCCCATCCCACAGTTAAAATATTTCTAGAAAAAAAAAAAAAGCTGGTAAGATGGCTTAGTGGTAGAGTGCATGTATACCATGAAGCCCTGGGTTTGCTTCCTCAGTACCACATAGATAGACATACAGGGACAATGCCCAGGGCATTGCCCCAGGACTGGGAGAAAAAAAAAAGCCCTATATTGGTTTCCTCCTTGGTTGTGTCAGAACTTACCTCTTTCTCTTGCAGATGGGGAGCTTGAATTGAACCTTCAATTGGTTGCTGATCAGTGTAGAAATACCCAAACCATCCGTGAGGATGTCAGAATTGCCTCTGTGAAGCCTGACAAGATGGAGGAGACACTCACCTGTATCATCTGCCAAGACCTGCTACATGACTGTGTGAGGTACGCTTCCTCACACCCAAGGCTGGCTTGGCTCTCGGGAGTGCGCTGTCTCTGAGGGAAGACAGTACGAGATTGAGGGAAACACTTACATAAACCTTACAGAAAGCTGGGACCAGATGGGTTGTCAGCACCCAGAAATCTGAGGGACTGACGACAGCCCAGGTTTTGGTTCCGCATATTTACTTATGCTTCATTTTTTCAATAAGGAAGGGAAAGGACACATCAACATAGTAATAACAAGTTGCACTCAGCAGGTGCCCACAGTTTTGGTCATACAGGGAACAGGAGGCCTGTTTCCTGCATTATAGAGAAAGCTGAGCTAGCTTACAGGTTAGGATGAGAGAGACAGCCTCTTTCTATGCCTTATGGCCAGTGAGCTGCTGCCACCGTAGGCCATGGGTGTGGGTGACAGGCTCAGAACTGTTGCCCTAAGAGCTCATGTCTCTGCCCATGCACAGGTGTGACAAGGCTTCTATCTCTGGCACCCAGCACTTCATGAGTGAGAAGAGGAGGCTAAGCGTAAAGAGCCTTTTGGTCAGCCTTGGTTTTGACTAACATAGGTCATAGGTATCCCAGCAAATCCATCTACCTTGCAGACAGATCAGATGAATTATATCAAGTTTTATATACTTCTTAGTTAAAGAAATATAGTATTTATCATAGATTGATTATCCCAGGGGTAGCTTTCTCTTTACTCTTGGAAGAATTTAGGAGGCAGAACCAACTCAACTTTCATTTCCGAACAACTTGGTGCTTTCGCTTATATTCCTGAAGTCATGATCTGCTCTCCTCTGACCCTCCTAAAACAGGCACCATATGACTTTTTATCAGCCCTGGAGTATTTTTAGGTGGATGATAGATGGCCTGAAAGTGGGTCCAATGGCTTGAATGCAGCTTGCCCTTCTCCCTGAATGTGCCTGCTGCAGACCTTCTCCAAGGGGTCACAGAGGCAAATATTGGGAGGATTCTGTCTGGAGATGTGTTCCTCCTGTCTTCCAGTTTGCAGCCCTGCATGCACACATTCTGTGCAGCTTGCTACTCTGGCTGGATGGAACGTTCGTCTTTGTGCCCCACCTGCCGCTGTCCAGTGGAACGAATCTGTAAAAACCACATCCTGAACAACCTTGTAGAAGCTTACCTTGTCCAACACCCAGGCAAGTGGTCAGACCCCCTGGACCGTATTTTCTTCAGGAGTTGGGACCACAGGTTCTGCTTTGAACAGTCTTCAGTATCTCCCTGTTTGTTGCTTTTGAATATTCCCTAGGTGCTGCCCTTGAATGACCCTTTGTCTTTTCATTTAGATAAGAGTCGCAGTGAAGAAGATGTGAGAAGTATGGACGCCAGGAATAAGATCACTCAAGACATGCTTCAGCCAAAAGTCAGGAGATCATTCTCTGATGAAGAAGGGAGTTCAGAGGACCTGCTAGAGCTGTCAGATGTTGACAGTGAATCCTCAGACATAAGGTGGGACCTGTGGCTGGCTCACAGTGGGGCGTCAGCCCTGTGCGTGCGTTTTCGGTGGTCTGCACAGGGTGGAGCCTTAGCAGTGGAATGGCCCTGGCTTCCTTCCTCACCCTTCCCCTCCTCTCCTCACCCTTTGTTTCCCTTTTCTCCTGTCCTTTGCACTCTCTTCTTTTCCCTTCCTTTTCCCCATCTCTTCTGTTTTCTACTGTCATTCTGGGGATCAAACCTAAGGTCTTATGCACATGAGAGATACTCTACTACTGAGCTACCCAGGTGCTAACATTTTAGTATATCCATCTTGTCATTTATATGTATGTCCTGTCTACATGCTTTCACAGAACAGAATGTATCCTGACGTGGTCTATGCCTAACCTCAGCACTCACCAGGCTAAGGCCATCCTGTGCTATATAGTGAGACCCTGTCTCAAAAACAAACAAAAACCAACTAAGGCAAAATAGAATTGTATACTGATAAATACCTATCATATTGTACATGGGATTCTGAATTAGTCCCAACATTTTGAATTTGGGAACAATGCTGCAGGGCATTCTTAGGCTATGTGTTATGCATATGTACCCAATTTCATATAGGTAAAGATAGGTAAATAGAAGTGAAATAGCCACATAAGAGAGTGTGATTGGGCTGGGAAGGTGGCTCAGTGGTAGAGCGCTTGTCTTGCATGCATGAGGCCCTGGGATCGATTCCTCAGCACAACATAAGCAAAAAAGAAAAAAGCCGGAAGTGGCGTTGTGGCTCAAATGGTAGAGTGCTAGCCTTGAGCTGAAGAACTGAGGGACAGCGCCAGGCCCAGAGTTCAGGCCCCATGACCGGACCCAGAAAAAAAAAAAAAAGAGAGTGTGATTGGGTGTTAAATGTCTCTGGACTTTTTCTAGACTTTTCTTAGGGCGAAGGATGGGGAATACCAGGGCTTGAACTCAGGACCTCGCACTAGCAAGGCTCATGAGTGTCAGTCTAGCTTTTTGCTAGTTATCTGGAGTCTCACAGACTTAGTCTCAATCCTTAGATCTCAGCCTCCAGAGTAGCTAAGATTACAGGTGTGAACAGCTGTCAACACAGCCTTGTTGGACGTTTGGTATGTATGTAACTCAACTATCAGAAAGGTCACTCAGATGTGACTCAGTAAGGTACACATGAGGGATTCTCATCGTAGGAGTAGTCCTTTGCATTTATGTTTTTTCCTTACAGATGAGACTGTAAATCTCGTCACTGTGTTTTGTCTTTGTCTGGTCAAGTCTTACCTTTTCCTGGTTCCTGTCATTGATGTCAGGTTTCAAGATTCTCTAAGTGAATTGAGAGTCTCATCTACTTTCCCATGGATTCTTTTGTTTTCTTTTTTGGCCCAAGACCAGGACCTGAACTTGCTTCCTGATGCTTTCGCTCACTGACTAGTGTTTTGCCAACCATGCCTCCAAACCCAGATTCTTTACAGTTTTTTTTTCTAGTAGTTTATTCAAAAATACAGGTCAGGTATTTTTAGGGAAGTGATAGGCAATTTAGGTGAGTAATACAGAGTTCCTACTGGCTAGGTGGGAAGTTAACTGGGTAAAGAACATCTCTTAGCTGTTGCATATTATGCTCTGGTTTTAACAAGGAGAGGACCCACATGTATTAGATGATCCAGCAACATCTTTGAGGTAGTTTTCTTGTTTGATCCTAGTTTCCTCTCAGCCTTGGAACCTCTGAGTCCATGTCTTGCCAAGTAGGAACTAAGTGGCCTCAGATGAGTGTGCTGACTCATGTGGAGTGAGGAATGGAGCAGGGAAGTGGCTAGGCACTGAGCTACCAGTTGGTGCCAAGCATGTGTGGCAGGTGTGGTCCTCCCCTTCAGACTCTGTTCTCAGTGGTTCTTGGTGGTGTGCTTTCTAACAGTGGGAGTTACGGAGGTAAGAAAGGCCTGTTCTTCCCCTTCACACACACCAGTGTGCAGAGAAGCTCAGCAGTGGTAGAGCTGTAGCATGAAGGCTCAAGGACCAGAAACAGGAGACAGTGGTTGGATAGCTTTGACTCAGACAGAACTGCTGGGGTGTGCTCTTCCATGGCTTTAGTTTTGCTATGTGCTCTTCCTGCAGTCAGCCATATATCGTGTGCAGACAGTGTCCTGAGTTCAGAAGACAAGCTGTGCATCCCCTTCCCTGCCCAGCACTGGACAGTGAGCTGAGGTCCCCTCAGGCCTTTGGGGGTGACACACCATCAACTTCTACCAGCTTCCCAACAGGTGAGGCAGCAGGTCCAAACCTGAGTCATTCCATTGTGTTGATTCCTTACTGTACTGCTCTGGTTTTATGTTTTCTCTGACTCTTCTTTGCTACCTTCTTACCCTCCAGTCCACTGCTTCATTGCGGTCCCCCTGCCTCCTGTGTCCTCCTGTTTGCTTTAATCAGGATCAGGCCAGTTAAGGGGTTGCTTTCCTATAGTCCCAGTCCTCAGCAGGCAGAGGCAGGAGGGTCAAGACTCCAAGATCTGCCTGGGATACTTGGAGAGATAGTATCTCTAAAAAATGAAATAAATAAATGAAAATTAGTGTTGGTAAGAAGTCAGATAAATGTCCATTTGTTGAGTCTCCCCTAATGAACACACTTGTTAATTAGTATCCTAAACTTCACCATGGGGTCCCTTCCTAACCCACTCTTTCACAGCTCATATCACCTAGTGAATTAAAAGAAAAGAGCATGATAATTATACCTATCTCTTCCTCAAATAAGAGATTGTCTTTTTTCCAGCATACTGTTCTGAGTTCCCAAAAGCTGCCTCAAGATTCCACAGAGTTGACCTTAATATTATCCTATCAGTTTCCCTTTTCCTAGTTGCCATCAAGAAAACTATGGAGGGCTGGGAAGGTGGCTCAGGGTTAGAGCGCTTCCCTTGCACGCATGAGGCCCTGGGTTCGATTCCTCAGCACCACATAAGCAAAAAGAAAAAAGCCCGAAGTGGCGCTGTGGCTCAAGTGGTAGAGCGCTAGCATTGAGCTGAAGAGTTGAGGGACAGGGGAGGCAGCTCAGTGGTGGAGTGTTCGCTTTGCATGCATGAGGCCCTGTACCACCTAAACCATTCTTCCACTTCTGGCTTTTTGCTGGTTATGGAGATAAGAGTCTCTTGGGGGCCAGGCGCTGGTGGCTCACGCCTGTAATCCTAGCTACTCAGGAGGCTGAGATCTGAGGATCGCAGTTCAAAGCCAGCCCGGGCAGGAGAGACCGTGAGA